AAAGTAGCTGTATTTGGGTAACTCTCCCGCAGCTAAAAAGGATTTAGGTCGCAGGAAAAACGTGGTGCTGGTAGGAAAGGGCTGAGACAGGAGGCAATGAAAGTGGGGGGTTGGACAGTGCTATTTTTATAGACAGGCTTCCCAAGTTGTCATTGGTCTGTGCTGTTACTTAAGGGCTTTTTTAGCAACACTACATTATTTCCTTCGTTTCTTAGCTTGCTTTCTGAGAAGGTGGAAATGAGAGGTGCAGTGTCCACCGATGCAGAGCTTCACAACCTGTGGGCTCCTGACCACAGAAATGTCTCTGAAAATGTTGATGTACCCCTGGCTGTCTGCAGCAGGAGAGAGAAACCAGGAGAGTCCAGGAGAGAGGAGAAGGGTGGGACGGGAGGGAAGGATACAATAAAAAAGAGCTAAAAGTAGATCATTGTGCATATGAGAAAGATAAAAAAGGGCAAAATACTATTATGAGCTCTCAAGGAGTGGGTGGAGGTTGACACTTGGCTCATTGCTGCTCTTCAGCATCCAGGTTGCAAGGAAATAGAAATAATCTGCTTTGGCAAAAGCAACTGCAGGTAGAGTCCTGGGCTGCAGCCCCCAGGTTACTGCAGCCTCCCTCTGCTGCAGCCACAGACATCTCTGTTCTGACAAAGCAATTGTTCCCCTGAATTATTGATGGCTTGTGTGGTATTCTTGCTTTCACTGGCAGGCATTTAAAGCAGAGTGATTTCTTCTGTTTAATCCTTCAGAGGAAAACATGTAAAACAGAGTGAAAGACAATGATGGTAAGTATGTAATTTGGGCACATTTGGAAATCAGCATGAGGGGAAAAAAAAATAGGAAATTTGTTGTCAATGTGCTTTATCTGAGAATTCAAGTTCCAGTGGTTTTTTCACTGTTGCTTAAAACCTTAGATTGAGCATTAGAAATTACTTGGTCTGAAGCCTCACTGAGGCTGTGCTTTAGGAAGTGCTTCAGGGATGTGAAGCCTCTCCCTGTTCACAACGCAGATGTTTTCACTCCCATTCATACCTGTGGGTCTGAACTTTTTGGTTGTGCTGGACTTGGGCTGGGGACTTTATTCTGTCCTGCCCAGGCAGAAGTAGCTTTCCTACAGATTTGTGTAGTGGGAGCAGCTTTGCTGATGGTGTGAACAGATGTGAAATTACCCTCTGATCCTCTGCCACACCACAGATAACTGCTGTTTGTTAAATACAGAGCAGTTAGCTCTGAGGTTGTACATTGTTTCCTGGTTCTTTGGTTGTTTAGTTTTTAATCCCATATCACCATATTTTGTCTTATCCTTGGCCCTTTCAAAATACGATTAGCATTTTGTCCCATATTAATTTAATCCCATAGATCTCTCAGGAACCTGTGAGCTTTAGTTGTTGTCACAGTCTGGGTCTTTGATCTTGATGACGGCTGTGAATGCCACAAAACACAACCCCAGGCTAAATATTTTCACAAACTTTCCTGATTTTCTCTTTGCTGTTTTCAGCTGGGGAAGCCCTTTGTCTATTTTCACAGCAGAGAGTTTCCCTCCTTAGGCAGGATACTGACATTGCAGCTGGGAGGTAAGGATGGTTTTTTAAATTCAGGAATGGAGGAAGACACAGCAATTAGTTTCTGGGAGGATGGTCATTAGGTATTCTTGGGCATCCCTTGATTTCCTTGGCAACTAGTGACAGAGAGTCTCTGTGGTGTGTTCCTGTTCTCTGGCAAGCTTGGGTTTGAAATCCTTCATTCTGCCTGGAAAGGTTGTCTTCTTCTTCGTCCCCTGCCAGGCAGAGGAGCAGGCTGCCAGCCAGCTGCAGGATTGGCGTGTACATCTCCAGTTTTCATAATTGAGTATTCTACCCATAGGACTAAAAAGATGTCAGGAGCTGTAGTGCTACAAATCTGACCATGGGTAGCCTGTTAAACAGGAGGCTTGGGGGAGGAGGGAGTGACCAGCCCTTGTGAGCTGGCTCAGTGTCATGAAGCTCCATCTCAGAGGTGCTCGGAAGAG